TCGTCTATTGAAGAAGATTGTTAACCAACAGAGGTGTTACAGTCTTYTTGTGCAAGGCGACTGTAAACTTGGGACAGCTTGCAACGGCGACTTTAGTGCATCGTCCTTCCAACCGATTAGCATGTAAAACGACTAAACTAAGCATTCCGCGGCAACAGACTTTGGTAACTACAGTACTTAGTGTCTCCGCGCGCACACTRCAAAGTCTTTTAGATTAAGGCGTAGAGTTGGTTTTGATTCTGTTAAAAGTCGATTATTTAGAAACCATTGCGTGTCTGTCTCAAACGACAACATTCTCACACCGAATCGGTTCATTACCATGACGACTGTCAGCGTTTGTTGATTGGCTAAGACARCTACACTRGMTYTCTTTGTGACATGGCAGGGTTAAGATGGATTGTAAGAAATCTCTCCTAGTGATTTAAWCAGCACACTTTTATTTTATAAGTAATTACTTTAGCGTCTGAGAAAATTGAATTGATCCTTAATTTACATTCGCGCTGGTTTTTCCAGTGCACACAATGCATAATGTTGGCATTCGACTACCATTAGCGCAAATATTTATATTATTAATTAGTATTAATAGATTATAACGATCAGTGCGTGACAGAAATAACGTTCATCAAKGTATAAAAAGACTAATAGCTACTAGAAAACTCGAGCAGTGATTGGCTGCACTGCTACGTCGTAGGAAAAATACAAAATGACGATACTTCAATTTATATGCCACTTTTGCTTGTGCTATTCTGATAGGACATCAGCTTACATGTGGAGATTWGAAACAAAATGGCGACTTATTTGTGTGGTTGGAGTTGAACTGCAGGACGAATTGAACGAATTGTTTTCTTTGATAAATATATATGTTTTCTTTGAATCTGAATCACCATAATCATCATCATCATCTCGGGGATTCATCCATGGGTACGAGAACTTCTTTCTGTCTAATTAATATGCTAAGATTTCATTGCAAATGCGAGCATCTGCATGGTTAGGAAAAATATGGTTTATGGTTTATTCCTAATGCTTGGCTTAGATACGGTCCAGATGATAACGTGTGTCCTTGTGGCTCAGATGGCTTAGGTAGCTTAGAGGGAGCCTTTTCACTGGGATTGTAAGGGACTGCACAATATTTATCAGGAAGGAGGGGGGGTTGAGAATCCAGGGGGGTGATCTAATTTTATGTGCTCAAGGAGGGGGGGGCCACAACGTCTAAATTTAACTAGACTTTTAATTGGAAACTGAAAACTCAACGGCGTCAGATTCTGTGGTTTTTGGCCAAATACTTATTGAAGTGGAAAACGTCTAAAGAAACTGGAGTGTCACTATTTGCGTTTGCGAGGGGGCGGGGGGGATAGTAATTACCTTTTTTTTATTTTTTGGCTCATTTCTCAACCACCACCCCCTGATAAATATTGTGCTGCCCCCCTGATAAATATTGTGCCGTCCCTAAAGGACATTAGGCTCAACTCCAATAGTAAGACTTGATTGTTTCAGAACAAGTGAATGTTCGCATTTCTTTCTTTCGCTATATCTGTACTGTTTTTGTAGTTCTATTCAGAGTTGGTTTATACTGGATTAAGTGGATTACGTTATAATGACAAAATCAAAGCATAAAACTCAAAGGATAAACATAAACAAAATGATCACTTAATAAACCATACGATTGTCTTCCACATTTTTCATATAAACAGTTCCAATGAGCTTAAGAAAATCAATTAAGAAAGATAATTAAAAGAGCAATAAGCTCGTCATCGACTTAGCGCACATTAAAGGCTTATCGTGGCCGAAGTCTTGAGTCACGTACTATTAAGCCTCGGGATGTAGTCAGGATGACGAGGGCCGCCGTCTTTGTACTCTCAGGATAGCTTTGTMATCACGTTATTAGAGTGCGCAATTGCAAACTATTTGACTATGAAAAACCTTCATGTTAGTATCGTGTTAGATTGTACTGCATCGCGATTCCTTTGTTTTCTATTACATAATCTACTATATAAAGCTCTATTTGTTGGTATTTTCACTAGTGAAAATAACACATTCGAGGTTTCTCTATATAGTGGAAGTAAAAAAAAAAGACATAACGACATAATTTGCTGTCATGTCTAATTATATGATAAACAGAATATTACATGGTCGCTTGGAGATACGAATTTTATCTACGCTCACTCGTGAGAGATCTTTTCAAYACTCGAAGATAAAATCCGTATCYCCGCGCSCCCATGTAATATCCTCTRTTTAACCAGTRGGGTTATATACGCCAGTCAGCGGCACTAATGAACCTTTTCACAAAATGACGTCCAATTTGTTTTGTCGAAATGYATCATGGTATCGATAAATGTATCAAAGATGGCTGCTGTCCACAGAGGAAGACRTTTCTTTGCGGGAGTTAACGTTATTCTACTGTCTGTCGAGATGCTATAGGATGACTACACAACAGACTAAACAGCTCTCTCAGAAATAAGAAAAAGCTTATAGTTTGCAGAACCGAGCCTGAAATATAACAACCTCGGTTGCGTTTGTACCCACAATGCATCTTGATGTGGCATGACATAATAGCGTAAAAGGATCATTTCATTCCATGGTCGMTAGACACGGTTGAGGTTCTGTGCCTTTTTAAAGAGTTTTCAGAGGTTTTACGTTAATTTTTTACGTTAATTCTTTGTCATTTAYAGCTTGCTACATTCAGAACAATGCCTAAAATAATTTGATTTGCAAAAAACTGTCAATGAATTATAATAACAATAGTGAAAAAAGGGTTWTTTTGAGTTATAATAATAATGATTATAACGATCATGTGTGCAATAATGATAAATATAATGATAAATTAAATACATATTCTACCTCATAATTCTGCCCCTCGTTATAAGGCCATTGGCAATTAAGGACAAGAATTATAAATAATATGTAAAATGTACCAGAATTTTCAAACYTCATCATTACGACCATTAACCCTCGATAAAACGGCCACTGATTAACTTAATACCATTTGTTTAAATCCTCGTGGTCAATTAGTCGAACATTCCTTTACGCAATATCGACTTTCACAATACAGGAACAATAGCACTGTCTAATTAGGTGGCGGATTTATACAAGCTCCTTTTATTGGTCCATAGCTAGCTTAATAAACCTCCCATTTCTTTTCAAAGCCATACGCGATAAAGACGAACGAATACAAGGATTAGATCGTTTGACGTAATATGATCAAAGATTCGATTTTCTGTTTGGGTATTGTTGAGCTTCTAAAACGATTGATCAAGTATTCTAAAGCGGGATAAAGACCTGTCACATTAACGCTAAGTAGGAGGGGGTAATTGTAGCGTGCTCCTTGAACCATTTCATCTACGAATGAATCACTGTTAGGAATTAAAAATCAACAGAGAATTGTAATTCTCGGTATGCGTCTGATGGAATGGAAAGTCAACAACACAATGTCAATATTGGTTCGCGTGTTTACCGAAACCAAAAAATGTACGAAATATTCTAATTTGATCAAAACCACACAGGGCACCGCTCGCTCAGGGCTAAGTCTTTCCGACCGTATTTGCCAACGATGATAGTCCATTGAGGAGGTATCAAGGCTTTTGTCTAATGACATCAATATCTTGGCAGAATGGAAAATAATGGCTAGATTACATAGAATATGAGATTAATAAAACATGAATCGGACGTCTTCCTGTAGTTTAGTGAGCGTCGTTCGCACAATCAATCGAAATTCTCTAGACCCCGGTTTTGTTAATCTAGAAATCGGGAGATAAGTGTGATGTTAACGAGATGCTGGAGAGGTCTGTCAACGGGCCAAACAACTATATGATAATGAGGGTATTAGGCTGAGATTACTGCCAATATCGATCTATTCCGTGTGAAGTGTAGAAAGCACTATTCAATAATATTTCGCTACAGGAAATGTGCAGCTCYCTTATTCGTTTTAATAATTCGCTCATTTGAAGTGTCACGGCGGCTTTTTCGTCATGTTTTTCAGTGTTTCCATGGCATTGTGTTAGTCTCATAGGGCTTCGCGCTAGTTTCTTACGTGATGTAATGTACTTAGTTTATGGCTGACGGAGTTTTATAGCACAGTTCATTGCGCGTGTTATGTCTCTTTGTCGAGAACCGAAAATGAAATAACAATTCGCTGTAGTAGAAATAGTTTTTTTTACACCAGTAGCCTTAGTAACAGCGATTTCATCATCTTTGTCTGCTTTAGGCCTCGAACACCTGATTCTTTGAGATATTGTAAATGTTAAATATTTAATTCATTGTGGAGCCAATCATAATCACCCATGGGTCATCCACATTGGAGAACTCAGCACAAATGCAAGAATCTATCTTGGCGTTGTTTTATGCCAGATCTTGTATTAATTTTAATGCTGCAAAGATTTCACCACGGATTTGCGCATACTTTCGCCTTTCAAATAACTATTAAAATTTCAACCTCAAAACTTTTACATATTTATGTTCTTAATTCCAAATCCGGAAATTTGAAGAGTTTTCACATTTGGGTCGAAATCTAGGCTTCCCTAGTATTGTAATCGACTATGGCGCCCCACCGCGCAGACTGTGCTACTGTTTGGGTGCTTTCACCTTACAAAATTAGCATTTTTTGATTACGTTTAACTCTTCACAATTAAACGGAAAAAATATAAGATGATTTAAATTAGCGCCAAATGAATGGAAAATCGGTATTTCTTTATTTATAAAGCAAGAAAATGGGCTGAACTTCGAGTAATATTGCAAGTTACCGAGACTTTGTTGACAATCATCATTAATTATGCAAAACATTGGAGTGTCTTGATAAACATTCGAGATTTTTCATAAAAATCCTTGCTTTTGAATCTTGTTTTGAGATGCTTTTGTATACATYATTTGAAGTGCACTTTGCGGCGTAAAACAAACCGATAAGGATTTTAATTTGGTCAACTTTTGTAGGAATGCGATGAAAATTGCTCGGTTAACCAACGCTAAAACCACGAGCTGCAAAACACGCAGTAAACATGACTCAAATCTTATACTAAACTTTCCAATGCCTTTATTAAAACAAATTATGTAACACATGCTTTGATATGCACACTAAGTCTTTGCGAGTGAAAGAGCTTGCCCCGTGCTGAATGCTAAATTCACTTGACTCAGCTAACAGACCTCAAGCTCTCGCCCTCACAGAACTGTGCTTTAATTATTGTTCTTACAAACCTTTTAAACACAGCCTCGACGGGAATATATATACTTTAATAGCAAAAAATAAAATTTACACTTTTAAATTCTTCTGTATAGTTCTTCGAATATAAGCATTATGTATTAGTAAGTGCATTTAAAATAAAAAATACTTCAAATATTTGGATATTTCTACTGTATTCCACAGCTAATTTTACAGAAAAGTACTTCATCCATACGTAATATTAAAATAGTCCAACTATAGTAGTGCAACGGAATATCGTATCCAAATTATGACTACATATCTTGTACAAATATCGTATATTTATATATATATATTTTTATAAGCATAGAATTGAATGTGTGTACAAAACTTATTATTACTTAAAATAGTTCACATAAATATAGCTATTGAGGAAGGATTGTGTTGAAATATTATTGTAAAACTCTTTCTAATTGAGATATCTGTATCTTTATTGATAGATATTTATTTGGCTGCCAAGAATTTACTCCATATGGCTAGAAATATTTAGTCGACATGCAAAACCATGCCAAAATCTCTATGAAGATAATTTGATTCACAATCCCAGTATAGAAGTTTCTTCTTTTTAACTTAGAATACTCTTATCTGAACTTTCACTAAATATTAAATTAAGTCTGAATCTACATATTAATATCTTATTTGACCTACTTGAGGTATAGCTTTATCTATCCACTTAAATATAAGCAGATTTAGTCGCAATAAGGGACAATAAAGTCCTCATCACATCATGGATTTGAAATTCTCTAAATTTCCTACTAGTGTTCATACATTAAATTAGTCAAAATACCGTCAAATTGACGCTGGCTTGTCTTGCTTGAAAATTGATCGTCTGAGTGTTTCTTATGAGAAAATACGCAGAACTTGGAGCACTTGCTTTTGGCATACTGGGCAAGCTGAATTTTCCTCTCGAATTTTGTCTGCACACTCCATGCAGAAGAGATTGTGACCACACGGTACAAGTGCAGCTACCACCTCACTCTCAAAGCACACAACACATTCTTTTTTCTTGTCCTTTGAAGCTGGCTGATTGTTGTTCGTCTCGCTATGCTCGGTTGTTTTGATGCCAATAACATCCACTGTTGTTGTAGTGCCAATTACTCCAGCACAACTACCGTTAGCAAGTGACGAGACGACGTCAGAATTAGCAGAGCTTGCATTTTGTGAAGTAAACGGCGTAAAAGCTTGCAGTGATGAGAATGTGTTTGACAACGCATCGTTTTTTAGACGGCGTTGAGCATTTTGTGGACTTGCAGGCCTGACAACCGAGCTCTGCAAAGTAGAACCATTAATGCTGGAAGACCTGGAGAAAGAGTTGGGKGCCATAGTAGAAACTGGAGCCCAAATTGATGGCGATGGAGGAGTTGGAGCAGGATCGAATCCACCAGATCCACTGGAGTTTGCATCAGAACCAACATCTCTTTCCGTTGGCGAGGGAAAATCGTTGAAGAAGAAGCCATTGGGTGAAAAAGGACTGTTTATGGGATTGAATCCATCGTTGATCTTTGTAGAACCGTTCCCGTAGTAGAAAGAATCAGTCGACTGAGAGCGCCCATGGCCGCTGTCACGGAATGAAGAGAAGCTGGATTGCGAGCCGCTGGAATAGATGGATCCGTTGCGAAACTCATTGAAGGAGTTAAGGTCGCCGTTATGAAAAACACTGTCGTCGTTTGCGTCCATCATACCTCCGGTCCGGTTGGAAATATGGTCGAGGATTTCATTACGTGCACTTTCTACGTTATCAGCAGCCCCAGTGACTTCAAAGACTGGCTCTTTATCTCTTGACGGAGTGACAATGTATGTATTAGTTTGTTGTTGAATCCGTTTGATAGTGGCTCCTTTTGGCCCAACAACAAGTCCAACTACACGGTACGGAACTCTAACAAGCACAGTTGTTTGGCCTGGAATTCCTGGAGATGGAGGCCCAGGAGCAAGCGAGTTGAGGCTGTTACTTTTTCTTTGGGCACGTATCTGCGAAAAGTGCTCGGCTGCAGAAACTATTTCACGTTTGGCTAGTGCAACGTCTTCTTTGCGTCCTGTGACCACAAAAACTGGATCTTCGCCACGCACAGGTGTTTTGATRTACGTATTCGTCTTTGCTCTCAGCGCTTTTATCTTGCAACCTGAGATACACAACAAACACAACATGTCAGAAACACGAGGCTAGCTGCACACAAGTTTGGCTACAGAGCCTTAAGTTAATTCGATTACCGCTTAAGTGAGAGCGCAGGAACTTCTAAAATACATACCTTGCCTTCCTACGATCTCTGCTACATGCTCTGAGCTCGGCACAGGAACACATTCCGTGGTATTCATGCTTTTTTTGGCAGCACGTATGTCGTCAAACGAATGGGGAGTACAATCATCATCGTTTGTAAGTCCTAACATTGAAAGTTCGAGAGCGATTTGAAATGCACGTTGATCTGCCTCCGTGCTGCTACGCTCCATATCCAGAATTATTGAACTAGGCATAGGGGAAAACGAGTCTTGAGCCTTGTGAGTTGCTCCTTGAATCTAGACGCTGTTGGAGTGTTTGGACCGAAGAAAACACCACTCCGATCCGTCTCTTTTTCCCGCAACTGAAGGCCGGATTGTACGTCATAGATTTTGACCCGAATTACAACCCATAATGTCCTACTCATTTGCAACATCTGGCGCACGTGGTGTCGAGGCTCCAATCTGATTGGTTGATTTTAGCGGGAGGTGTTATATGTTGTCAGTTTTCAAGACCGCCTCGTTAGCTTGCCGTCAATGTGTTGATTAGGAGAGTTTAGTGCCTCACGCCCCTAAAACTGCACGGAAATTTCATTTTCTTGTTCGATTTGATACCTTTCATTGAAATCTACTCTACAGGGACCTCACAATTTAACGCATCTTTGAAGAGCACGGAATAATCTCTTAAGCTAACGTAGGACACGACAGAATTCGAGATCCATAGTCATCTTGCAAATGCAAATTCTTTTAAGACTCTCTTGTCACATTGTATAATCACACCCAATATGCAAATGAGCTACGCTTTGTTTATGATGAGTAATTCCATCTGCCAGCAATGCGGAAAGCGCCACCAAAATACTACGATCGTTCGTTCTATTTGTAACTAACGAGCTGCCGTTATTTCTACATGGTTATATCTTGCAAGGTTTCACTAGCAGCGACTTAATGCAGGTGTAGATGCGCGTAAAATCGGTTTACGATCTTAACACAATGGCCGTATTTCTATGGGTTTTACTTGAATCCCCCAGTGAGGCCAATTATATTCAATCTTTTGTAAATTTCCCTCGATCGGCTGTGTTGTTATCAAGTTATTTGTAGAAACTTTTGAATAATAGAGTGCATCAAAGCCGGGAAAACTTATTGTCTGCGTAAGACAAGGATTCACTGCCAAGACAACTTGGTTCAGAGCCATGGAATACACTAATCAATATTGAATAAAATTGTTTGTAAACTTATGGAAATGGACACGTTTCAGTAGGAGCCAGCGTAATTACGTTTCCTACTTGGAATGATGATTTTTTTAGCAGTAGGACGAGCGAAGAACTGTCAAAATTTCATATTTTATTTATGGAGAAATAATGGCAGGCTCAATACAATCTATTATAAGATAGGTAATTTTTGTGCGAATGTTCCAGCGCGCTGTGGATGTTTGATGGCAATCATTTAGAAGCGCGCTAGGAGTCGTTGTGTTTTCAGACTGCAAATTTGATGAGTTCGAGAAACAAAACGCTTTGCATTTGAATAATTTCTACCTGCAATGACTGGTCCAGTTAACACGTGGCTCAGGCAAACACTAAAGCTTGGTATTGTTTCGTCTATGTAAAAAGATACCAAGTATTAAAAGACACGTTACTAAGCCACGGTATTATGTCCGAAACGAAATTCTAGAGTACGAGTTGTTGGTAGAAGATCAAAACAAACTCGAAACTTCCATCACGGAAAACTTGAACTCAACCACGACAATGAGAAAAGTTTTGAAAGGATTGCCATTGAAGTACAGCATGTTTACCAGTTGTAAACACCCGACACACAGGCCAAAATCTATCATTCACACGTGCTATTTGAACTTGCGTAAATTGATGTACGGAAGGCGCTACATTTGAACATGAATTACACGTAGACTCACGTCTAAGTAAGCAGCGCGCGTCATCCATATTCATTAAGCATTTCTATGACCTTGGCTTGTTATGACAACAAATTGAAATTATACATTCGCAAGAACGTATTTGATATTTGGTTGCTACGCGCCCAAAGTGACTTAGAAAACTCACAACAGAGCATACTATCTCGCGTACACGTCACTGCTGTTTTGATATAAGCTCAATATCAAAGAATCTCGCAGTTTCGCGCTGGACTTTGAATCGTCATCAGACGGTATTCGTCATTGTAGTGACAGTAGGGCTATTAACAGCGCAGGAGGCGTGATCACTACCTTAAAAGAGTGTTGACAGTTCAAAAGTACAGGTCCCAAGGGATGGGAACCCCATGGGACTAATACTTTAAGTTGTAGGCTTGATGAAAAAAAGTAATGAGGTTAATTACTTCATGAAAAGACCAACCAAAGAAAGGAAAAAAAAAAAAAAAATAGATTCTGAAATGTCATTGGTGGAAATTAAATCGCGTGATTTTTTTTCGCAAAATTCTCGATTGTTTATCAGCATGGTCGAAACTTTTGTATTAAATCAATATACATCACATCAAAATTCGAGAACTTTTGCTTTCCTTTTAGTGTGTATGATAAATATTAATGCAGAAGCTGTGTTTTGCTTGCCGATATGAACGTGCGAACGTGAGAGACGTTTGGGGCTTTTTGATGATAAATTTTTCAAGCGAGCTGAACGCGAGAGGCCAGTATACGATGACATCATCAAGTACAATTTTGACACTTTGAATAATTTGTGGTAGACCTCGATTGTAATAATTATGCCTTGCTTTCTAAACCGGAACATCGTAACATTCACAAATCTCTAAGAGAAAGCAATGTCAACACATTTTAAAAAGTCACGTCCAGAAATCATTTAACAGTACCACACGCCGACAATTTGTAAAGAAAATTGAGGTATATGACTTGTTTAATGTAGTAAATTCAATTCGCTGCTATATGGAGCTATGTAATCTTGTTGATATTAGCTGCATAGATCATTCAAGAAATTGGAGTTTTAATCCCCAAGACGGCGGATTTACTCCGGCGGAATCCGAAACGTGATAGTACAATCGTAGACCAAAATGGAAAACCACTTGTAATTCGCTCTTCTGACCTTGGTCAACCTTTAACGGAATTGCGCTTGGCTGATACGACTCATATACGACCAAAACAACACTTCATTTTTTTTAAAGAATAAAGGATTCAGAGCGTGATCAAAGGGGCGTATCCGGCCTTAATTCTATCAATGGTTTTATCGATTCGTTTTATTTAATGATTTCATTTATTGTCRATAAATAATGAATATGATTATTGCTGGTAATCAAGTGAAGGAATTTCAACAAGGCTTATAGATCATGATGAACTAGTTGTGCGATAAAGCGTCTAATGAGCCTCCCATTGAGTGAACAATGTATAAGAACCACAGGGGTCATGCACTCATTGTTGATATTTTGGCGTTGGCGATTATTATGTCCTCAAAACAATCCTAGCCGAATCACGCAACGTTTTCGGCGCATCTTACGCCGTGAATCCTTTTACTATGAAGCTTTTCAAATACCCAAATATTTCCTAAGATGAAATTTGACTAGAATTATCAATATTCGAAACTCTAGGGGATTATGCCGACCGGAGATTTTGATTTTTAYATATAGGRGATTTGTGATTTATTCAGTGRAACCCACGCATGGATTTGATGTATTGAATATTGAATATACAATTTTGGCGCCTTATTCATGAATATTTGATCGTTGAACTGCTTGAAGAGTAGGTGTTTTAATAATCTGTTTAAAGCAATCCACGAATGAGGAATATTGGTTTCTGATTGGTCCGTTTTGTATCTAATACATATCATTAATTAGAAGGATCACGTGACAATTGATGATGAATTTTTTTGTGAAATACAATTAAAAATATGATAATGATTATAATGATAATGATAACTAATTTTCAACGCAAATCATTAGAACATAAATATTAGATATTAGAATTGTCTTTTTTACTTTTGTTGCTGTTTTGGTTATTGTTATTATTAGTGCTAATAGAGTACATTAGAAAAATACATAGTGGCTTACATAACTCTGTTAAAATAGGCAGGCGTTCCTGGTCACAGACGCCCGGAAGGATTCGGGACGTCTTTGAAAACGTAAGAAAAATATCGTATAGCCCGTATAAGATATCGTATAGCGTACATACCCTTAACGTGTGCAACAGTTTTCACCGTTTACTATTAACAGTGTTAACTGAACAATAAAATTATCATAATTTTAGAAGTGATTTAGATTTTTCACATACAGAAAAAGAGGTTCAAATATCCATTTGCAATCCATTTCTATCCGTCGATTTTAAGTCAAATTTTACAATATTTCCATTCATAGAGCATAAAGGGAAAATAATGAGTTAGYTTTTGCTTATATAACCATTTGTTCTTATTTTCAAACATAAACAAAAGCTCGAATGGATGTCGGTAAATCACGCCCTTTGACCGGTAGTTATTAGAGTAGAAGGTACTAGCAAACCGTCTTTTRATTCTTTCTATTTGTTTCGCCAAAATGGAGTAAATGGAGTATTGTTCACTAACAATTAAACAGCAAAGTAACTAAAAAAACAAACAAACAAAACAAAAAAAAAAACAAAAAACATCAGCTACAACAACAAATAAACCGTGAAATAGATATTATGCTAATACACCTCAGTACGATATAATTACATTGTTTTCTTTTGTGTCTATTTGACTATCATACTTTAATTATCAAGTTTTATTTCACGGRGTAGATTGCTTCAGGCTAGTTAAGGTTTCACGTTTCCATTCATCTGACTCTAGAGCATTCCATTGACAAAATTCAAGATTTATTCAAAAATTCATGGCTTTAAAATCTCATTTTTATTACTGATTTGCGATGGGTTTTTGGCTTAATTACCTCTTTTTAAATATTTGTATTTCCTCCGATTGTTGCCATATATCTAAGGCGGTTTTTTGTGCATAGATGAATATCATGAAATTAAACGTCCGCGTGGGAGGGCTGTTGAATGTAGCAGTGTCATTACTGAGGTAACGTATCTGCATATCGCATTTTTCCCTRTGATGAAATCTAAACTATTTGATAGTAAAACGGCCGCCATATTGATCTAAAATCCGTGAAACAAAATCTAAGAGTCATGATATAGAATGCGAGCACTAAAAGTGTCAGAATGAAGTTCATTAAACCCGTGAAATAGATATTACACCTCAGTACGTTCTAATTTCTCTGTTTTCTTTTGTGTCTATTTGACTATCACACTTTTATAGTCAGGTTTTGTTTCACGGATTTCATGACCTCACTTTAAACGTACTATAACTCAATAGTGGTAAATCTTGTATGTAAGGCTAATATTGATAATGTATACTTCTTTGTGTAATAAAATCCTAATAAATGAGTTTTCATGTTTTAGTGTTTCGACTCTAGTGCTAAACACACTAAGTCCG